CATTAGTAAATGTTTACAATGGACTCCAATTAATGCGTAACATAAAAAGAGCTGTGATTAGCAAGCTTTTCTGGTTTAAAACATGAAAAATTTGTGTTATTAAATTATTGGTAGGTGGGAAAAAGGACACTGGTAAAAAGAGCACCCAGAAAAAAAGCAGTAATAAAAAGAGCACACGAAAAAAGAAACCATGAAATCACTTTTCAGAATATATATTTGCAAGTTTTAACACATTTTAATAAAAATAACTCAAAATAATTTCTTGTGAAATTTTATTTCCTTTATTGAATTTCAAAAACGGGTTTTTCGGAAAACCTATAATAGCTTCTCAGTTGACATTTAATATTAATTAGCGAAGCTCAGTTTATAAAACAAAAATCCCATTCCACTTAAATAATAAAAAAATATTACAAATATATTTGTAATTTAAACATTGTTTTCTTTTACTTAACTGGAATTAAGTTCCCTTGTTAATTATAAATTAATATTTATAAAACCATAACAATAATGAAATAAATAAAAGTTAAGATTATCTAATTCAGAATATATTTTTAGATTAAAATCAGTTCCATTTTGATTAAACTTGCTCTTTTAAAAAGCAATGTAGTTTAAATAATCAATTTTATTATTTATTCACACTTACTGCTTTACTAACTTAGGGTCAAAAAACCAAAACTGCACGTATATTGATCGTAAGGTCATGCTTTAACCGTTAATCTGTCATAAATTTATTTGACATTAAACAGTCATGAATTATTTTTTTAAAAATCTTTATATTAAAACTTTATGATTCCTTTTTTTATGGTGGTATCACATGGACTATATGTTGATGCTTTTTTTCTCGGTACTGTTTTTCTGTACTTTTTTTTCCGTGATTCTAGATTATAACCATAAGGTACAATTCGTCAAAATGTTACTTACCAAATTATTAAAAAACAGCTAAACTATTTTATATTGACTAAATTTACGAAATTCATAAATTGCCTAGATGATTATCAATGATTAAATATACACTGTTATTTCTTAATTATCTTAGTTTAAGCAAACTAAAAAAATATAAATCAGCTGCTATGCTTTGAAGAAACGATTTATTTAAGTTCATAAATAATAAATTTGATATTTAAAACATATCTATGAATAGATAGACAAATAGAAACTTAATAATAATTACGCAACTGTTAAATAAGAAAGAACTTAAATTTTAATAAAAAATTTTCTGTTAAACGTAAGGAATTCTTGGAATTTTTTTTTTTTTTTTTTAAACTGAAAATAAAAATGAATAGAATGAAATTGGAAATGAAAACTGAATACTTAAAATAATATTTATAAAATTAGTGTCTTTATTAGTGTCAAGTTGAAATGTTCAATTCGATTATTATGATGCTTGTTTATGAAAACCTTACAAAAATTTCATCAAGTGCAATAGTATTTATTATTAATAACAATTTCTCCTATCCATGCGTGTAATATGCCTTACAGGACCGGTTGTACAAAAAACAGCTTTCTCGATGCGTAGCAACAAAATTAGAATAAAAAACGAATAAATACAGACTGCTACCAAATTATTTAATATAGTTTACAGTGACTTGGAAATTAAAATATAAATAAAAAATTAAAATGTAATATAGTGAATGATCGAAATCAAGAAAATTTCGACTTAAACCGGCGAATGTCAACAATCGCATAGTCGCTTTGGTGAATATCCGAAATATTTGCTATGTCCGATTTGATATTAATTTATTCGTTGATATTATTATATTTAGTCGATATTTTAATATCTGCTCAGGATAGATTAGGAAATACATCAGTGTTCGGAGCACCGGGCAAATGTATACCTGGCAGTGGCACTGAACCTTAAAAAAACATGAGTGTAGGGTATATCAGGGAAATAGGGTATACTGGGCAGTGGCACTTAACTAGACCTAGTATATTTCGGAAATTTGTCAAAGCGACTATGTGATTGTCAACATTCACAGGTGGAAGTCAATAGCCACCAATTTCGATCATTCACATTAACATATTCATATTTTTAACGGCGAATTTAAGTTTTTGTAGATGAAAAGCAACATTGAAAACATTTATCTTTATGTTTAAGCTATTTTCTTATATCCTCAGTCGGTACTCATGTTACTTAACCTTTTATTACTATTTCATTCAGTTCTAACGGACAAATGTGTTTTTTTTTTCTTTTTTTTTAATATCTTAAATTTTAAATAAAGTCTTTTATATATATATATATATATATATATATATGAAGGGGAAAAACAGATGTCTTAAAAATAAATATCCCCATTTGAAAAATTAAATAATTAATATGAAAAAAAAATTACTTATTTTAAGATTAGTTAGTATTTTTGATCATCATAATCTAAAGCATTGAACTATGAGCATCAATTATAAACTCTAATTTTATCAATATCAAATGCTTTAAAATACTCAAATAAATATCCATTGTTTCAAAATACCCAAATAATTAATTTGGAAAAGTTCTTTTTTTCTGCTGCTTTCTTACTTTTTTTTAAAAATAAGAATCAATGTTTTTTTTTTTTTTACTAATTGTTATATACTACTAACTTATATTTTTTACTTACTGTTACATTCCTACACTCCGTTCCTTTTTTAAACAAACAAGCTATACTACCTGTTATATACACACACTTCCTCTTATAAAAATAACGAATATTTAAATTAGGTAGCTTTATCAATGTAAAGTGCTAAAGGTACCTAATTTAGATATACGCGTTCTTAAATATAAAATAATATTAAAACTTACGACGAAAATAAAAATACACAAAAGAATTAGAAAATAAAGAAGCATTTTCAAACTCATAAATCTTTTTACTGTAAGTTTTGTATTTTGTACACTGTCCACTGTCAATACATTATTATAAATTACAGGATTACGTTAATTTTACACCGTTCGTTGATTTATCATAGAGCAGCTGCCAAGCATCAAGTAAGTAATGTCGAAATAAAAATTAAATTTAAAAAATATTTCATCAAAAATTCTAACAAAATACTGAGATCATAAACAAAATATTGTGAAATAAATGATTATAACAAAATATTTTTTTAAAAAAAACTTCTAAATATTTTACATATTTGTCATTCTTGAAATTATATTCATTCCCATGAGTTTAAACAAAATTGAATGTATTTATTTATAAAATTGACCATGATTATACTATATGCTTTGAAGCTTGATTCCTACGCTCATTACACATTTAAATAACATTAAAAAAAAGGCGTCACATTGCACAAAATGAAACATATAGATAGAATGATTTGATGACTTTACTAGGACATAAATTACTCAATACAGATAATTATTACTTATTATTATAAATTCAGTTAAATTCATTAATCATTTGTTTAATACCTTAATGTTTACAAATTTAAAAATTTGTAAACATTAAGGTATGCTCATCTCCTACTAAATTACGAAGAATTGAACCTCCTTATAATCTTTCATTTATTATTTCTTACTTTTTTAACTGAAAGGAGAGAGAGAGATCAGAAATGAAAAAAAAAAGAAATAGAAACTTAAAGCAGATAAGAAGAATGAATGTGAAGAGGTTTTAAATTAGTTTATTCTTATTAGATACATATTTTATACTTATACTCTTATATTTTGTTCTTGATATATTTTATCAATAACTTAAGTAGAAAATGTTTTATGCCATTTTAAAACTCTAAAAGTAAACTCCAACTTCCTTTAATCAGTAATTAAAAATTTCGAGTTCCCTTACATTATTGACGAATTAAACTTGATATTTTCTTCTCAAATTGATTATTAATTATAAATGTCAATTATAAATCCTTTCATTTAACAATTCATAACAATTTCATCTTAAAATTCTACAGAGTTTTCTTTTTTCTTTTGTCGATTATAAAATGTGAATGTTTCAATAAATTTATTTAAATACGTATAATCAAATACGTATATTTCAATTAGAGAAATAAGTACACGTCAAATCAATAAATACGTACAAATATGTCAATTAAAAAAGTATGCATAAGTCAATTATATGTTCACATGAATGACATAATTGTATACATTGTTTTAAAATGAATTTATAGCCATATTAAAATGAATTTAAACCCATATGAATTAACACCATATTTATACGGATGCTTTACACTCATTCTATATATCACTAAAAACAATAGCCACGAGAAGAGTCATAAAAAAATATCCTATTGGATACACATCCCTCTGGCGGAATTTTATGGCAACTTGTTTGTACTAAGTTTACTTGGCAGCTGCACTAATAGAAATCTAATACACTTGGATTTTCTGGTCAATTTCACAAACCGGATACATGCACATGTCAAAAATTTAAAAGATCAAAAACATTTAAACTTACAATTAACAAGCTTTTCTCCAGAAACTATCCCTGGTCTAAAACAATTTCACTTCTGTACAGGAAAAAAAAGAGCTTTTTTTAAAGAAAAAAAAAGAGAGCACATAATCCATAAGGAGTCCAAAAGGAACACACAAAATAATAATGACTTAGGTGGACTCTTCCGAACATTTTTGTTTATATGTAACTGAGTACTATTCTTCTGGGAATTGTTCCACAAGGTTTCTAGAAGTCTTTTGCTTGATGAAAAGACGTTGGCTTTCTCTAGGGGGAGGGCTCTTCCCAGCTGGACGCTCACCCTCAGTTTCTTCTTCTTTCCCCTTGTTTCGGGGGTCGAAGTTCCCGAACTGAAATATTCGCCTTTCAATTTTCGTTTTCTGGGTATCCCCATCTTTAGAGCAAGCGCGAATATTAGTCGGGGTCCTAGATTCCATTTGTGCAAAGTAGTATCCCCTCAAACGATTCGAATTTGATTTATGGTGGAGAGGCCCTACCCTTTGGAAAGCTTGGGTGCGAGAGAAAGTTGCATGTAAGCAATGACATAACACTTAGCAACGACGTCAGTGTCGCTGATTTACATAAAGGCCTCATAGACTGTAACATATTCATTTAAGAAAATGCTTTTTTTTTTATAAATTGGTTTGAGCGATATTATTTAAACAAAGTTGATTCTTTCGTTTTTATAGGCAAATTTGCACTTTGTTTCAGACATACCATTCGTCAAATTTACTTGAATAGTCGAAGTTCGAGGCATTATGGCTCTTTCTTTAAACTATATTACTTACAGATTTTTTTGCGATAAATTTAAAGGCATCTTTGCTCTTATTTTGAAGATGTTGTAGTTGCAACAATCTATTTTATAGATTTGTTGCTTTGAATGATATTATTCCACAAATTTGATATTTTGAACTTTAGAGGCGGTTTCGTTTTTGCGGAAAACAATTTAATGAATCTGAAGTTGTTGAGTACCTCGAAAGATGAGCTACATTTAAATGAGTATTCAAAACGAAAACGTGTAAAAAAGTTAGCAATGATCTCCAAGAGAAAAATTCGTATGTAACAAGCATCTGTGGTAAAATCCAATCCAATTTGAATGGGCACAGCCCAAACGTTTCCTGCTCGAATACTGTAACAGTATATGCACATCTCTCGTTCGATTACTTTAACAGTATATGCATATCTTCGGTTGAATAAGTTTAACAGTATGTATATACCTCTCTGCTAATCACTAGGCAATATGCATTGAGGTTTGATTTCAAAGTCATCATCCAGGCCATCTAGTCAAACGGAAGTCATGGGTGGTCTGTCCAAGTGGTGGTGGACCAATTCCGGGCCACCAGGTCCCATGACTAGGCCTGCTTCCATCTTTGACTTGTTTTCTTTTTTCCACTTCATGCGTCGGTTCTGGAACCAGATCTTGATCTGTCGCTCCGTCAAGCAGAGAGTGTGAGCGATCTCGATCCGACGCCGACGCGTCAAGTAGCGATTGAAATGAAATTCCTTCTCTAATTCAAGGGTCTGGTAGCGAGTGTAGGTCTGCCGACCACGTTTCCTCTCTGAAATAAAATAAAATAAAGACATTTAGTAAAATGGAATAACGTTTTAAAAAATAGTGAATTAAATTAGATTTATTAATAAATTAACATCCAAGTTCAGCAATTAAATTTCCTTTTTACAAAATTTGGCTCAATAGAACTTTCACATAAGCGACATACAAATACTCTTATAAAATGCTAATGAATACATTCTAAATTCTGACTGGAGCTAGAGTGTTTGCATTTGACAGAGATGATCCAGTTTCAAGTCTTATGAAAATCCTTCTAACTCGCACATTTTATCAATATCGCCAGTGTGTTAATGGATCGCAGTTAAAAGTCGTGTATTGCTGTCAATTCTAACCATGCGTTTCACATAAAAAGTTTTTTTTTCTTTTCTTTTTTTTTTTTTTTTACCGATAATTGATTTAAAATTTCATTTTATTTTGTATTAGGTTCGAAGTTTTAAGACTGAGAAGTGAAACACGGACTAATTGTTTAATATGAGTGATAAAAAAAGAGAGTGAAATGTCAAGAACTCTTGCGTAAACTTGCACTTACTGAATATAGCCTTTGTGTATGGTGTATCTCTGGTTTCAAGAGAACTCTAAAAATCAAGGTAATTTTTATCGAAACGCTTTGGTAATGACTTTGTCATGAAATTAACAATAAAATATGGATTTTATTACCATGCTAAGTCGTAGTAAATATGGTAAAATTTGATAACTTTAATCAAACGTCTGTAATTTCACCAATATTTGTATAGTTTGAGATGCCTCAAAAATGTTTTGTGTGATAACCTCTATTTTATTTACCAAACGCCTGTTATTTTTTTTTCCTGTGTAAGTGATAAGTTATCATCTGCCAGCATTTAACATTATAAAAGATTTGCATTTGTAACTGTACATAATCCGTGACAAGGTTAAACTACACCAGTAGCGTAATTGTTATGTATTACGGCTGTCCATGCATCCTAAAATGCAAGCGTAAAGGTAGCAGGCGCAAATCCCACCGAAACTCTAAATACATTTATTTATATTTATTACACACACATTCGCAGGTTTGTGTGCTCAATGTAAAGCTCGATGCGTATGCCTTTGTCAAGTCGAAATGAAGATATCGCAGGCATATATTGTGGGACACGGTAGAATTCGAACCCGCTTTCACCACGTTACAATAGACGCATCTTTGTGGTAACGTCTTTCTCTAATTTGAGCAATCTGTTCTTCAGCTTGACAAGATCTTATATCGTACTTTGTAATGAGCACACAAGTCGGCATATATATGTGAAATAATAAAAAATAAATAAATAAACTCTTGGAATAGTAATACTTTTTTGAATCATTTTCTTTACAACAGCTTTTATTCTCCACCAAACGCTATTTAAAATGTAGGCAGCGGATTCGAATCAGAATGCAACCATTGATGAGAAACAGTAAATAAATAAATTTAGTTTGGATACATATACAAGCTCGTTTGCTTAATCTAAAGAATGGCTTACTTCTTGTTAAATTACAAAACAGACAGTACAAAATTGAAAGAAAAAAAAACAGAATAAAGATAATGAACTCGTCACCTCTACACTTCAGACCAAGCATTTGGCGGCAGAACAACACCCTGAGGCAATGCAAGAAACAATAATATAGTTGTTTTGCTTGCACCTCGCCGCATTACTGTTTAGTATTACTGTTCCGATAACCGGTCTGAAGCTTAGATGTAGTGAGTTCGAATCCCGCTATAACACTTGATGTATATTCTTTCTGTTTTTCGTAAAATTAATGCTGATTATTCAAACAGAAAAGTTTTTAAGCTAGTCTATATAGTTACAAAGAAATTCACATTTGTGTAAATCCCACTACCCCCATAAAAGATGGAAAATACATTCCCTATAGTTTAATATATTTAAGTTTAATGTCTTTTAAACAACACTTTCTGAAGAAAATTGGTAATTTAACCTCGATACCTTAGCATGACATAAAAAACATTTATTTGGTTAAATTTCCTTTTCAGTTTTGTATTTGTGATTAAATGTATGGTAATAAGAAATATAATTTTTTAAAACCAGAATTTCCGGCAAGCCGTTACCGTAGCTTACCAAATGAATAGTTTAAATACTGTATAGTTTGCTTTAATTACCAAAATTATGGGCTATGGAGCAGAAAGGTGCTCCAAGAATTTTGTTACGTCAGATCATAAAAATGGTATAACATGCAGTAGGTAGTCGATGCTATATAATTCTATGTCTCATGATAATGGGACAAAGAAGGTGACTTGTTCCAGTATTTTGAAATATCAGATAATGACTACACTATAACAGTTGAAGAAACTTTACTGCAAATTATAACAAAACAACAAAGGTTCTGGTTGTCTCTAGTGCAACATTAAAAATATCAGCTCAGTCTCATTTTAATCCACATTTATTTTTTAAAAACCTAATTTACCTAATAGGGATTTATAAAAAAAAATATTTAAACTTAAATATTATAAATTTTAATATGTTCGTTAAAAATATTTGCAGAAAAAAACAGTTTAGAGTATGCGTTATTTGGAGGACAGGGATTGAAATCATGATAATTGGTCCCGAACTGTCGTTTTCGTTTAGTAAAATTTCGCCAAACTCGCAGTACTCTTCTCAAAGAGATTTTCATTTAAGAAAAAGGAGGGTTAAAAATATTATAACTTGAATTTAAAAACGAATAATAATAAAAATTATCAATTAAAATTTTAAGCATTATTTTTTTATTGCAAGCGTCCATCAAACATTTAAATCAAAAGCAAAAGAAAAGGCATCAACCACAACTAACCAAGTAAATATACAAATGGTCTATTTGTGTATTTTTCTCATGGTCTAACATTAAGGAAAGTAAACAAAATGACTTTTTCCCGAGGCAATATCGCACACCAAAATGAAAATTTAGAAAAGAAATATCGCTCATCGCGTGTGCAGGTCAGTTAAATTTCATGCATACGAAATTTGAGCAAGTGGGCCAAGAGAAAGAGTGAAATGAAGCCAAGACGAAAGATCTTTTATTCATTTCTTCATCTGCACCCACAAAACTTTATCCACTTTAAAATGCATGCGCTTCTTGGCTTCATTCCTGCTTGGCGTATATTTGTTATTTTTTTGAGCTCTCGCCACAATGCATGAAAATATTTCATTTCCCTCATCTATCTCCAATACCATTTGAATTTTTCTCTCTTTTGATAGTTTTTTTTATTTTTTATTTTTTTGCACGAGCGCGCCAATGTAGCATCTAAATTCATTTTCACAATTTTTCGGGAATGAACAAGATGAATGTAATTACTGTGGAATATTCGAATTTTGTATACAAATGAATAATATTTATATTTGCTTGAAAAGGTCTAAGAAAATTTTATTATTTAATTTGACTAGATGATATATGTTTGCTTGCAAATGCAAATTTCATCCTATTACTAAAGAACATAAAGGCGAGCAAATTTTAAATAAAGCATAAGAGTTATTAAATGTTTGCATAAAATTAGAAATTGTGATGAAATATTGTTAATCCCTCCAAAAAATTATTACGTTTGATTTTTCTGATATTATAAAAGAGTTGCTAGTTCTTATTTTCAGTTCATACTATAAGAGATTTATAGTATATGTTCCAAGAGACTTATATGTTCCAACAGCTATTTCAAATTCAAAACAATAATTGATGTAAATTGCATATTTCCATTATGTTAAGATTAGCATATATTAATAACATGAAGCTATCAAAACAAAAAATATCTTAAAAACATTTGAAAATATATTTTAATTGCATACAAATTACGCGTGAACTTCTTTGTTTCAAATTATAAGAAACATCTAGATAATGTTTCATATCGAATCGAGTAAAACAATTATTGAGAATAGGGAATATTTCTTCCTATATATCGTATTAAAGCAAAGAGTAGAGTTAAAGCAACTAAAAAACTTCGGGAAAAATTCAGCATATTGTAATAAAACCTGAAGAAATTGTTCCCTTTTAAATATATTAATTTATGTTGAATCATATTATCAAGCAATTTTACTATAACTTTGATAAAACCATATTAGTCCAGCCATATTAGAGAGATTTTGCATAACGTTACAGACTTCCACAACTCTATTAGTGCTTCAAAGAGTATTTAAAGAATTTCACTAGAAATATCGGAATCGTTATAAAGCGTTATAAAAATGAAATCAGCTTTATGGTTAACGTATGCTAATATAAGCTATGTAAAATCCTTCGATTATCTTATGAATTTGCTAAAATCTTTATAGCATGTGTAGTTTTTTTTAATATCATCGCACACATTAGTTATATTGTTAACTTCAAACATATTATTGTTCGAATTTGCAAAAAATGTTAATTAGGGTGTGAAGCTGAACTCAATTAGAATGATTTTGCAAGGCGTTACAGTTTCTCCTAACTGTAACACTAACGCTTTTTGAGCTTCTCAGCGTATGTGAAAAACTTTCACTGCGAATAAGAAGTGTAGAAAATAAGGTTAGAGTTTAAGAGTTATGGTTTACATAAGACATTGCTTTGCGAAATATCTTTATTATCGCGCAAATAAACCTAATGCAAAGTGTTACGCTTGACTGCATTATCGCAAATCAGTTATAACCGTAACTTTTAAGTTGCACTGTATTTCTGTGAATGTAAATCTTGTTTAACTAAAACTGAACAATTCCATGGTTCAATAAGAAATGAAGTTGGGAAAGTGAACCTGTTTTTTACGTTCCCAAATCGCGGAATCTTTCACAATTAAAAACCTTCTTCTAATAAATGCAAAGAAATGTGACTAAAATCACTTTAGCATTAAGATTTAAATAAGCTTTGTCTTAAATTAATCATTCATACATTTTTAATTAATAAATAAATAAATTTAAAAAAAGAAATTTATAACCAAATGTGACATACATTCTCATGAATGTTAGTTTAAAAAGAAGGGTAGGATCTAAACATCTTCTGATTACACAAAGTTAGAAATTTTAGTTACCATAACCTTAATATGGTGCTAAATTGAACCAT